AAAAATGCTCATTGTGATAAACGAAATAATAATTTGATCTAAGTAAAAGTTTTTGTTTCTTCCCGATTTGTAAACAGTTCTTACGTGGTAGAAAAAAATGAATATTATTTTCGAAATCTGCGTAGCTGAATTATATAAAATCTGTTAGTAAAACCAAAACAACTTTTATGAAGTTTAAATTCGCAGGTCTGTGTTATTTGTAGACTCATAATAGCTACTTATGTAAAAGAAGTAAGGGAAAGTATGGTGGTGTGATCGAGGGACATAGAAATATAAGTGATCAGTGTGGGAGGAATCGATAGTGAGAAGTCAAAAGTGATAGGAAGTGTAAGACTTGGTGGAGGGGTACTCTAAGCAGCCCGAGCCAATACCACCTCCATTATTCCCATTTCACTAACTGCATACATTTGTGACACAGATTAAAGAGAAGTTTGATATATAAAAGAAGCTTAACAAGTGACATTTTACTAATAAGTGAAACGACAACAATAGCTGTATCAAGGGAACAAATTAAATTTTACGAGTTAAGCCGAAGGTGGCTGATGGAGCATCCACCATGCATCCATGTCTCGAAGCATTAATGACCATATAAAAGGTTACTGCTTATGTTTTTGCTTCCGAATATACAACATTTTGGAAGCCAAACAATAACATCACAGATGTACGAGTCAGGGCAAAATGATTATTTTTGGATCCAACAGAAGCAAAGCATGCAATGATGTGTGGTGAAGGAAGAGGCATGTCCTCCACAGATTTGATTGCATCAAGTACAAGTCTTCATTTTTAGGAAACAGCATAGAACTCATAGAATGTTTTGAAAGAGAAAATCCAGACGTAATGCTGGCCGGAATTTTCACATAGAATCACAGCCTTGTAGGTGGCCAGTCTAACACGCGAATTAACCAGGCAAGTATCCAATCTGTTTCCCCAACTACTGTTGTTTTTCAACTGCAGCCTAAATACAATATAACTATACATAATTCTGCCGTATCATGTATAGATGCTACACAGAATAATGTGTATAGTGCATATTTTTATACATAATTCTGCCGTATCATGTATAGGTGTTAGACAGTATAATGTGTATAGTGCATGCTTTCTCAGCAGAAAGAGATAAATAAATAAATAATTTTGATGATATAATAGTTTAAAAAGAAATAGTATTAGCGTTTTAATTAACACTAATGACGTGGCTAATCAGTGTTGTCATACAATGTGATACTTAGATGTTTTATTTCATTAGAACGTTTATATTGAATTAAAATAATAATATCAAAGGTATTTTCATATCAAGCTAAGACACTCATGAGTGAAAAGATAATTTTAGAAACCTGTAAAATATTTTATTATCCCAGGTCTAAGCATAAGAACATATGCTTCCTAAAATGTCTGTTTTGTTTGTTTTTGAGGGAAATTATCATGAGACACTCCATAGGAAGGTCAGTCATAAGTTTTGTTTGTCAGAGGGACTCTGGGGAATTGTTGCTTGTAAATTAGAACCTCCTCATTTGAACTGCTTGGAGGTTCTTCAGTTGCTTGTAAATTAGAACCTCCTCATTTGAACTGCTTGGAGGTTCTTCAGTTGCTTGTAAATTAGAACCTCCTCATTTGAACTACTTGAAGGTTCTTCAGTTGCTTGTAAATTAGAACCTCCTCATTTGAACTACTTGAAGGTTCTTCATTAATGGGCCACTCTTGTTTTGTCTTGTTTTTGTTCTCGAGTAATAATGGCTTCCCCCAATTGCAGTCACAATATAGATCGTATGATTTACAGTGAGGATATCCTATACTTTTATTTCATTTTGGAAATACCTGTGCAAATTGATGTTGGCCATATTTTGAAAATTTTATGTGTTTACTTCCCACTATTGTGTCATGTGGTTATTATGCTTCTACAGTGTAAAACTAAAAGCTTGTGTTACATGGTTACAATGAAATATTCTGTGTTAAAATCTACCCCTGACAATAACAAGAAACAGGCATTACCAAATGACGGGCATCATCTCTAAAAGAATTATAGAAAATAAAGATAACGAGCGAACCCAGTACATATAAGTATAGCGTGAAAAGGTTATCAACTTGAAGTCATATTCAACGATTTATTCTTAACAAATTGTTTCCAGAAGAACACTGAGAAAAACAAAGTAAAACCAGAAGAACACTGAGAAAAATAAAGTAAAACCAGAAGAACACTGAGAAAAACAAAGTAAAACCAGAAGAACACTGAGAAAAACAAAGTAAAACCAGAAGAACACTGAGAAAAACAAAGTAAAACCAGAAGAACACTGAGAAAAACAAAGTAAAACAGAAGAACACTGAGAAAAACAAAGTAAAACCAGAAGAACACTGAGAGAAAAAAGTTAAACCAGAAGGTGCGCTGAACTTTTACTCTATATCAGAAACAAATATTTGATCTTAGAATCTAAGAAAGTATCAGCATTGCTAGGAAGCCATTTTGGAGTGGTCAGGTTATTGCCACATTGCCATTTCTAGGGGATCTGGGGGCATGCCCCCAGAAAATGCTTAAAACTTTAATACTATGAGATCGAATCTTGAGCCATTTTAATTACCAATACTGCATACACACAACGTAATGTATTGAATTAAGAGAAGCAAGTTTTAATACATAAGTTGTAGCTATACATGCCATGAAAAAGTGGTCAGGCCATGGCCTGACTGGCCTTATCGCTTCTTACGGCCTTGATCTGGATGTTACAAAAATTATTGCAGGGAAAATATGGTTTTATGTGAGATGAAATGTATGATTATTTAAGTGATATTGTGTTCTTCTAGTTGTAGGTGTTAAACTGTACTTTTATGTAAGTGACTTTATGTTGTTACTTTTGTTTGTGTTAAGCTGTATTTTATGTAAGTGACTTTATGATGTTCCAGTTGTATGTGTTGAGCTGTACTTTTCTGTAAGTGACTTTGTGTTATTTCACTTGTTTATTTCAAACTGTATTTTTATGTAAGTGATTTTGTGTTATTTCAGTTGTTTATTTTAAACTGTATTTTTATGTAAGTAACTTTATGTTGTTCCTGTTGTCTGTAGTAATGCATCCGAAACGCCAATTATTTTCATTAGAAAGTTGCAGCCAAAAATAAATTGTTTAATGTTTATATAATCAATAAAATATTTTACAGAAAATTTAACTGGCAAGATTTATTTTTGCTGTTTCATTGAATCAGGCTTCATGATTCACCAACGGATATCAATCAGGTATTAGTTTAACATTGTGTGGGGTAATGTAAGAGGGTGTTCTATGTAGAGTACCACTTCGTAGTCAATACTGTATTGTAAGATAGTGTTGACTGACAAAAGGATTATAGACCTCTTAAGGGTATGGATTGATAGAATTAAAGAAAATAATAATCTTTTTTCTTACCTAAAGCACAACTGTTGCTGAAAATCTGTTCTTTAAATATAAGACACACTAAAATAAACGAAATGTTATTTAAGAAAATTGCAGAAACTAAAGAATGTGTATCTCAAATGGGATGTACACATATAATTCATTACCTGAAGCTGAATAGAATTAATATTCTAAACAATGGTTAAGTCTATCTTAACATATAAAGTATAACCAGAATTCATTCTGACGGTTGAATTATATTACTCTCCTATTATTGTACATTCAGAGTAACATTTAAGATTCTATATCACAATTAATTTGTGACCTCTTGTTTCCAATAAAAGACCAACTAATGCTCTCGAAACTAGAAGTAAAACAAACTTTAGAAATCAAAATAATTATGGTAAAGAAAGAAATAGTAACGGATATCGAACGAGGTAATATACACCTTTGCCTGATGTTAAAAACACAGTCAGTTTATAGTGTTTTCATTCAGTCGTATTTTAGCACATGAGCGGTTCGTAATTTAAATTGTGATGTTTTACATCGGACTGATTTTGATCCGCATTTTTTACATGGCTTTGTGCATTTTAATCCATTTGTTAGTAGTAGATGGTGAAGGTACAGAATTCAGTGTTTCAGTGTATAGGCCTTAAGTTTACTTAGAAGTTATGAGTTGATATAGGCCTTAAGTTTACTTAGAAGTTATGAGTTGATATAAGTCTTAAGTTTACTTAGAAGTTATGAATTGATATAGACCTTAAGTTTACTTAGAAGTTATGGATTGATATAGACCTTAAGTTTACTTAGAATTTATAAGTTAATATAGGCCTTAAGTTTACTTGGAAGTTATGAGTTGATATAGGCCTCCAGTTTACTTAGAATTTATGAGTTGATATAAAACTTAAGTTTACTCTGCAATTTTGACTTAATATAGGTTTTAAGTTTACTTAGAAGTTATGAGATGATATAGACTTTTAGTTTGTTTAGAAGTATTTGGATTTAAGTATTTGAATACCTAAAGTGTTATTTCTTTATATATTGTTACGACAGCGGAAGTCACGTGACGATGGTAATACGTAATGCGTTCTAGAAAGATCGGGGAACATCACGAATAATCCAGTATTTGCTAGGCGCCCTTTATTCTTGTATATAAGTGCGCCAGACAATTAATCGGGATGGTATAGCGGACAGAGAGATTGAAGATATAGACGGACAATTGAGTCAAGCGTGATAGTAAGTAAAGTGCGTGAATCGCTCGTTGAGAATTATAGCGTGTGTGAAGTGACTGTGGAAATTAAGAGTAATGCAAAGTTGTATTGAGAAAGAATAAACTAGTTTTATTTAAGAAAGGACTTGTATCGCTGAAGTTTCTTGGGAAGAATTTCTACCGGAAATTATCAAACGAGCAGAGACGTAACAATATTTTAAGTGTTTTACTAAATTAGATTAATGCGACTCATTTTAGACATTAAAACGTGAATCCAGAGAAATTGTTAAGTTTTTATTTGTCTTTTATCAATAAACATCTTACAGTAGATATTTGTAAACATATAATTTTTAGAAACTTAAAACAGTTTGTTTCACCTAAATTTATACTTATTATTTTGGTGGAACAATAACTTAGAATAATGTGTAAAACCTCCAATGTAACCTGACGTTTTCCCTGTGTTAGTAATCACTTAAGAGATAAGTAGCGTGGTTGTCATGGTAGCAGTTTTCGGGCACGCGATTACTCTGATATGAATGTTTACGATTTTCTGAACTTGATAATCATAGCCAATCAAACACAAGTTATGTGTTTTCTAATGCGTTTTTATTTGATGTCAAGGTTATAGAAATAAAAATTTGTATCAGTGACTACATCAGAATGGACTCAACTAAAATTCAGAGTTTGATTCTCAATTTACGTTAAAGGTGTTATTATTATTTCATTCTGTGGTTAAGCTCTTAAATAAACGAAGTTAAAAGAAATAAAAGGATTTCATATTACCAACATTTACTTGGATTTTAAATATCATTTGATTTCCATTTTAATAAACGAATTGTTGAATTAATTTTGTAATTTTCTTTTCAGTTCACTTTATTACTTGATATTTCTTTCGATTATACTAACCATGTTCCGCGTAATACGTTGGTAAAACTTGCTAGATGTAGATGTGTTACAATATGTATTATCCTGTTTTACGTTTACTTTATCAATGTTTAACTTTACTTGTTGCTAGCTTTAGACTTTAATAAATGTCTGCGTTGTGTCAGAATAGTTTGGCTTTTTGTGTTTTATTTGTATTGTGTTTCTATTATGTTCTAGGTTTCTATTCCTGAGTTTGACACAAGTTAAAGATTTGTTACCACCTAGAACTATGTTACCATCTCACCCGTAGCTTCATCCCTCATACTCCTCACTTTCTATGAAGGTAGATAATTTCCATGTGTGAACTTTCATTAGTGTGAATCCTAGCAGAAGATGTAGTTTCAGAGTTCGACTCTGGATCTTTTTTTTTGTTCCCACACCAGAGCAGACATCTTTCTTATTCTCTCCTATTTCATTTATAAAATTCATCCAACTTAATATATATATATATTTAACAACTTATTAGCATATCCATTTAACTGTCTTTCATTACTTCATTACTTGCTTTTAATTTCTCATTTAAAGTTTCATAAAGATATGTTTGGGATGGCATCCAATGTTTTCAACATTGTCCACATAATTCAAAGTGTTCAAGATCTATGTTTTATTATATACCAGTATATCTAGAAGTTTATGTATTTTGTCACTTACACTTTTCAGTTCATTATTACCAACTAAATCTTTGAATGTTCGATTATTTTCAGACTTCTAATAGTTACCTTTGCGAATATTCATATCCAGGAATGCCACATATCTGCATATTTTTCTATCTACCTATATATTAGGAAAACAAACAGAATGGTCGGTGTCTAGAGATAATAAGCTACTTAAGCAATATCAAGACTGGATCTAGTATTCAATTCCTGCAAAAACTAGATATTCGTGTAGCTAGTGTGTGTAAGGACAGGTGAGGCAATTTGCTACAGGTGAAAGGAAAGAAAAAAGACACAGTGTTGAAGTCTGAGTAAAATAAAACCCTTTATTTAGAAAATCTTTAAAGAGCAGCTGATCGGGATAGTGGTGATTACTGTACAGTTAAGTAAGGAAAATTAAAAGAAATGAAATACATTATATTGAACACGGTCATCAGGTAGAAAATGATAAAGATGATGAAATGTAAAAATGAATAATGATTAGACTTTGTTAGCGAGTCTCTCAAACACAATACTAATTGCTCCACTCAGAGAGTAGAAAGAATCTCTTCTGAAAAACAATAAAATGGCATTTACAATTGTTACGAATGACAATTTCGAATGATCTGAAACTGAGCTAAATGATACTTTTAAATTTAGTAGTTAAATTGTACTTTGGATTTAGTAGTTAAGTAAAAGTCAATGATGGTGATTGTTTGGTTGTCATTTTTGGGTAGGAAATCAGGCAGCGTGGAAGTGTAAGTGAAGGCGAGACACCCAAACCACCATAGGACGAGGTCAAAGCCAAGGGTTCCTTAGACATGACTCCAGATGGTTCGGAGAGGGTAGGAGTCGGGCTGCCACCTGTCTCTTTCAGTATTTCATCTGCAGTCTCATCCTCCAAGGGTGAGATAACCTGGAAGAATGTGACTGGTGATCCATGTCCAAAGTATGGAAGCTTGAGGAGCCAGAATATTTTACATGATAAAACTGTATTGAAAAGTTTAATTTTGAACGTAATAAATCATAAAATGAATAATTAGGAACAATAAAAAATGACTACTAGGCACAAAAGTTTAGAGCGAAATTTATCACTTTGTTTCACATAAAGTAAAAAAGAAATTAAAAAATCGGAAAGCAATGATGTTATTAGTGGTCAACATAACCTGAAGTGAGATCAAAAAGTTCTAGTTTCAATATAGGGTGGTAATTGGTGCCTCCCCCCGATGAAAAAGGAAAATTAGTGTCTTGAACTAAGCTAAACTCTGTATTTTTTATTATGAAAGAAAATCCATTTTCTTGTGTTTGAAAATATCACCAATTTTTAAACTTTAACTAAAACTAAAATATTACTATTTAAAACTTTGCCTTTTTTTTTTCTGTTGTATACACTGTAGCAACAAAGTCCGCTTTCAATAATCGACAGTTTGGTTTGGTTTGAATTTCGCGCAAAACTACACGAGATCTATTTGCTCTAGCCGTCCCTAATTCAGCAGTGAAAGACTAGAAGGCAGCTAGTCATCACCACCCACCGCCAACCCTTGAGCTACTCTTTTACCAACGAATAGTGGGATTGACCGTCATAATATAACGCCCTACGGCTGAAATGGCGAGCATATTTGGTGGGTTGGGGATTCAAACCCGCGACCCTCAGATTGCGAGTCAAAGAAAAAGACAACAACGCAAAGTTTTTATCTTACTATTTTGTTCTATTTGTTTGTTTGTAGTTAAGCACAAAGCTACACAAAGGGCTATCTGTGCTCTTCCCACCACGGGTATGGAAACCCGGTTTCTAGCGTTGTAATTCTGCAGAGAAACTGCTGTGCCACTAGGGAGCATTTTGTTGTGTACTTTCGTAATATTATCTCTCTTCATCATTTTTTATTTCAGACTTAGATATTCATTTCACTTTTAAGTGTTTAACTAATTTGATTTTACGAATTTTTTACCACACATAAGTATACATGTGTTTTGGTTAAATTTAAATACAATAGGGGAACAACCACACAATCACAATGTTAAGAACTTTCACTGCCAGGAGTAAAAGGTCAAAGTATTCATTACATCATATCGCCATCTATGGGTATGTTTATCCAACACTACTAAATACAAATCAGTGCCTGACGTGATCACGGATGTTACGAACATTACACTATATGCACTGTATGTAAAACTTATGAAACTAGAATAATATCTACATAGCTCACCCACTCCCACATCCCCCAAAAAGCAATATCATGAATATAGAGTGTTATTCAATAACATTCCAGGTTTTTCTAGCAAGCTTCACCGCTCCTTTTTTGTAAACCGAAATCAAGTGAATAGCATGAAATATTAAGAAAAGATTTCACTCTGAAATAGTTTGAAAAGTAAGGATTCAAAGTCCTTTTCAGCTTTTGGATGAGTGGTTTACGTACTGCTTAATTATAACATAGTTACACCAAGCCTCCTCATTCAAGGAGGTGCTCTTTCACAACCTTATCATATGTTCCTTTCTGTCTCATGGCCATCTTCTTATCTATTGACATGAGAACATTGATTAATGTAAAATGGAGCCTTTCCACGTATTCTACCAGACATTTCGATAATTTCAGTGCTAGTGAAGGCCATATATGAGATATACTTGGAACATAACTTAATGTATACACATTGATATGTTCAGAGAATGAGCAGTGTTCCGCTCCTTAGTTGCAAAGTAGGCTAACATCAGATATGGAAGGTGCACATTTCATTCAGTTTGATGAACTCACAAACTTACAAAGCATATGTTTTAGAATTTGGACAGGCCGCTTAACCAAACTATTGGACTGGAAATGGTAGAGTTGAGTATGGATCTTAACCACACCAAATGCCTTACACAATTTGAGAAAAGTTGGTTGTTGAATTTTGCTCCTTGATCAACATGGATATTCTTTGAAGTGAACTATCCACTGCATGGCCGATGTGTCAACAACTGTTTGAGCTATCGTATAGGCCAGTAAATATGCTTCAGCCCGCTTAATAAAGTAAGCGATTATCATGGTCGGTATGGGGGGGGGGGCAGTATTCAAGTCTATTCTCTGGAATGGGGAGCTTACAACTCATTGAAAGGATTTCCTCTGGTATGGCATGTTCTTTCTCTGAATATTATAGAAAGTAGAATTACATTATTTCC